TTGAGAAACTCTCGACATTTACAACCATTGGAAACCTTCTTTATCTCGGTTATACGATATATATTGGAATAAGCTACGGCAGATGAGACGTTCAGCGGCAGTGAAATGTTAGACAACTGTACCTAGACAATCCACAAAAGTTCAGTAACTATAATTATATCAACCTACCATCATGACGTAATAATGTTCTATTTAAAAATCGTATTTGTAATGAATAATTTTAGAATAGAATATTCTTACAGTAATACGTCTTTATGGTCAAAAAATATTTTCAGAGCGATGTCGATTCATATTTAAATCACCTTATCAAATCCAGTTCATGCACGTGTGTGACGATATTATTAAAGACACGCTCATCCTTGACCCAGAAAAAGACTGGATTTCGTGACCGAAATTATCATTGCTGTTGACAGCGATACGTTAGTATTTCACGGATCAAATTAATCGAGACATATCTCAATAACCGTTTCGCATACATTCCGGAATTTCGGCATCTCTTCTTTTTTATCGATCTTTTAAATATGCATTATGTGCATCAATGTATACAATTTTTTATGTTATTACAACTTTTTTGCATAGCAATTAATCTAATAATAATATTATAATAATATAATAACTCTAAATTATATAATTATATAATAATAATGACATTAATAACAACAAATAAAAAGTCATTTTGTTTATTGTATGTATCAATCGAGAATCGAGAATGCATGCGTGTAGACACTTCTTTTACTTCTATTACGTCAAACTTATTCAATGATGCATGTATTCTGACCGGATGTTTCCTTCGAGATTATTTAACAAACAAAGTGTAACGGCATCTTTACAAAAGAATTTAAAGAAGACATTATCATTTTCGGATATCGTAATGGAATCACACCGATTTATACTTACAGCAACGAGCATTAAATAATTATAATATTTTTCATTGAAGATGCAATGGGATATTATAAAGCTATTTTTTAACAAAAAATCAATCTCAAAATGATTAATGTCATGATATTACATTTTGACATTTATAGACCGGTTAAGTGAGGTTTAATCGTCCATATCGGTATGATTAATAGATGGATTTATCACCATTCAATTGCAAATTATCGCTCCGAGCCATGCTCCACATCTATTTTTGTAATAATTACATCTGGATTTGCTTCGCCGTAAACCAAACTATGTATCATTTCTTCTAAATGATTTACATGCAGAAAATGTCTCGCATTGTAGACGATCTCGCATTTTAATATATAAATACTTTCAGATTTATTTCAAAATTTTTCCTTTCTCAGTTCTTTTTTTATATTTTTACAAAATATGATTTAATACAATTATTATAATAAATACAAATAATTATATTTATTATCTATCTATCTAGTAATATCTATTTATGATATTATAAATAGATACAATTATTTCTTGTAGATGTTGCGTGTTTCTAAAACAAAATAATTAATTTTAGAAACATCACAAAGAGAGATACAATCGAATCTTTAAAACACTCCCCTAGAAAATCGAGTATTTTCAAAATTTATACACGCCTCAGCATTACGGACAAAATGCTAAAGGAAATTTGATTGATTGAAATCTACAGAAACATACAATGAATTCTTGGGTAATATAGAATCACCGTTGCTTTTCAGGTGATAATGCATTTATATGCGTCTATACTGCATTTTTAAATGTTGCTGCTGTGCAAATTTTCTTTACGATCATATTATTCAATGACTTGGAAGAATCTTTAACGGTACATTGATGTGATATTTGTGCTGACTCGTCAATAAACAAATACAAGTGGTGTGCAAATTAGAGTTGCAAAGTATGGCCCGCTTTTTGGGGATTCCCGAGTAAGAAGTGTTACTTTAGGATTCTTTCTTTGAAGGTTTCTCATGCATTGCTCGTTTACAACACTATGTACATTATATTTATTTATATTATTTCTATGATTACAACTGAAGGTTTCAAAAATTCTTGCATTATTATAAAAGAAAATAATTTAAAAAATTGAATTATTAATCCAAAAATTAACTAAAAATTTATGTTATTGAACCTGCACATATACTTTATTATTTAGTTTTAATATTTAAATCTTTAAACAGAATAAGGATTACATAAATTAAATAATTTTTTAAAATATGTTATATTTTTATACAAAAATAATCGTAAATTTTATAGAGTTTAAAAATATATTTTCGAAAAAATGGATATTTTTACTTGATAAAATGCTGTTTACGTGTAATTTGTGCACGAATACAGTCAGAAGATTCACTTATAAAAGTATACGCCAGGGGCAATAAGGAAATTCATATAATTCTCGAATCCGATTTCGGTCACGTGGGCGATTTTACGGTCAAAACACAGTTAACCGTCGAGTTCCCTGTTCAACCGATATACAACATATAAGATATCTCGCGATTTCTTGAAAAAGATGATTCTTTTAATATTTATAAAGATTTTTAAGATTTGATGAATTAAATTTTGAGGATGTTAGTGAAGCAAAATCACATTGCTAGACAACAATTTTTATTTATAATTCGATTTGTAAGATATACAATATATATATATATTCCACATCGAATGTTAAAATATCACTGAATACAGAATATTTTGAACAAACAATGATTACATCAATGGATCGTAGGCATTGTCTTAATTTGGAATACTTCAATCGCACAAGTAAAGAAATATTTTTAAATGAAAGAGGATTGGATGAAAAGGTCGTTGAATATAAATCGTTGCATGAAACGTGAAAGTCAGTTGCAGATCGAAGTCCTTGGCCCAGGAGTCACTCACCGTGGAAACACTTCTCTCTTCCTCTTAATGACGACCTTCTCGCAAGATTATTGATCTTGATCTTGAACTTGATTTCTCATCGGTTATTTCTTGCAGATTATAGATCAATCGATAGTAGCTTATATGAATACAGATTATTACTTACTCGTAAATGTGACAAGATCATTATCCGATCAGGAATCACGAAACTTGTAAGCGTATCGTTAATTACAATCACCGACGTGACTTAGAATTGATAAAATAGATATTAATCATAGATGTATCAAAATTAAATAAATGCAAATATAATGATGTTTCAAATCTATGTTGCTCTGTATCATTAAATGTAAAATTCAAAAATTCAAAATTAATAAATAATAATAAATTGGAAGTTATTGCTTTCGATCTAATTTATAATTAATTAAATTAGAAATATAAGAACTATCATGTCTATACTATAATCATCATATGTTGAAGGGAGTGAATTATATAAAGCATACAAATATTTTTTTATTTATTACATAGCTTATATATATATATATATCGAAATATTTAATAAACTTATCAATAAGTAATATATATTGGCTATGCTCAAAATATAATTAAATGTTTACGTAATACGTTTACGAAACACTCTTGAAGATAGCAGGTGACGCGTGTCGAATTAAGACTTCCACAGACTCAAGATGCGAAAAGATGGTCATCGGTGAGTCACGAAAGTACGGGATGATGGATGAACATGTGGAGAGGGTGAAGAACTCTCAAATACGAATCCAGCAAGTTTCTTGTTTACGAAAAGAAGTAGGAAGTCGCGGGAAGGTTCAGAGAACCGGGTCTGATGATCAGGGTTTGATAAAACATTACGACGTTTATACTACCCTTTTTTTTCGTATAGTACTTCAAATTGCCGCGCTATTAAGGAGCCAGTTGTTCCGTTACGAATACTTACAGCCGAAATTCCGCTGCAATGACGCGACCGGCAAGCGCAATCCTTTTCCTCTTTCTCTGATTGCATGAGACCAATGAAAGAACAAATATTAATTTGGTATACCAAATAAAAAAACGCATCGATATCCTTTAATAGAGATAAAGATTAAATTTAAATTTAAAAAAAGTAAATTTTTTAACTAAATATTTTAAGTAAAAATGTACTTTACGAGGAAAATAGGTTGCATCATGCAACAAATCTTTTATAACATGCGTTTTTATGAAATAATAGCTTTTTATAAATAAATGATATATTTTATAAATAAAGGGTATATTTTTATATAACTAGATTTCCTTTGTGTGATTCTGCATTAAAAGAAATAATATTAAACGGTCGATGTAAAATTATAGCGTACATCTATTTTAATATTCATGCATATATTAATTTAAATTAGTCTACCTATAATCTAGTTATTAACATATTAATGTCAATTTATATATTGATGATATTATAATTCTTTTAACCGATTCATGATAGTATTGTCAAAGTAAGAAGTTATATAAGATATCAGATTCGATGATAAATACTAATGGATGAAATCCAATATAATAAGCCGATCACGAAAAAATGTGACAGCGAAAAAAGTGATTTATTATAAGAGTATCTTTTTAATTCTTTCATTCTTTTTTTTGCTTCCTATCTTCCTTCATACCTGATAGCATCCATCACTTCTATTTTACGTTTCTCAGCTGTGAACATATGATGTTCAATTACATGAAATAAAATGTTACTTCCGCTATTGACAATCAACGGATATGATTACCTTGCTATTAGCGACGGTCAATTAACTATACGTATTTTGCATTTTTTGTCAACACGTCGACATATGATTCGATGTGTATACTCTTTTTGTTTAAATAAAAAGTTGTAATTTTGTAAGAATAATAAATGGACAATAGAAATATATTGAAAGATATAATATTTCCAAAAAATTTAAATACATAATTATGAAGTATTGGGTTGACCGGAAAGTTCGTGCGTATTTCTCAACAGATGTCGTTTGAAGGCGAATATCATATGTTTATGTCGAGGCGATGTGTCAGATGCTTTCGTGTTTTGATTAGTGACATTTCAAAGCATAATTAGTGATATTCATTATTCCAATAAATTAAAAACTGTTTACTTGAAATCAGCTTAAAGATGGAAGGAAATAACGTGTTTTTTCGATGCATAATGCTTTTTTATTTCTGCAAAGGCAAGAACACGACACAAACTCGAAAAAAAATATGTGCCGTATACGGGGAAGATGCCGTAAGTGATCGCATGTGCCAGAAGTGGTTTGCTAAATTTCGTTCAGGAGAAATGAATATTGAAGATGCTCCTCGCTCTGGCCGGCCAGTCACCATGATCACATCGATGTCGACCAAATTACAGCTTTAATCGATTCCGATCGGCAAATCACAGTTCGGGAAATCGCAGCAAGGTTAAACATTGGCAAATCAGCTGTTTCCGAACATTTAAACAAGCTCCAGATTATAAAAAAACTTGATGTTTGGGTACCGCACGACTTAATTGAAAAAAATCGTATTGATCGCATTTCCATCAGCGATTTGCTATACAAACGCAACGAATACGATCCATTTTTGAAGCGTATCATAACAGGCGACGAAAAGTGGATAATTTATAATAATGTCGAGCGTAAAAGGTCATGGAGCAAGCGAGGTGAACTGCCATTGACCACTCCGAAGGCAGGCTTACATCGAAAGAAGGTAATGCTCTGCATTTGGTGGAATTGGAAGGGGATAGTGTACTATGAGCTACTACCGAACAACGAAACCATCGATTCGGACAAGTATTGTTCACAGTTGGATAAATTGAAGGTGGAAATCACCAAAAAGTGTCCGGAATTGATCAATAGGAAAGGCGTCGTTTTTCATCATGATAACACCAGACCTCATACAAGTTTACAGACTCGACAAAAATTATTGGCGTTTGGCTGGGATGTTTTGCCTCATCCACCATATTCCCCCGACATTGCACCCTCGGATTATCATTTATTTCGGGCGCTACAAAATTCAATTAATGGTTTAAACTTTGCTTCTTTGGAACTCCTCAAAAACTACTTGGACAGCTTTTTCGCCGAAAAACCCCAGGACTTCTACGAGAGGGGAATTATGAAATTACCCAAAAGATGGAAAAGTATTGTGCAAAATAATGGTGCATATATTACAGAATAAAATTACTTTTAACAATAAAAATTTGTCGTATGAATTTTGCTTAAAAATCCGCACGGACTTTCCGGACAACCCAATATATCAAATGTCATAAAACTTTTATTTAAAATATATTTTTATGTAGATGAACATTTCATAGATATTTTATTAATTGAAATCAATCTATATTATTTTAGCAAGAGATATAATATACAAAAATATCAATCTTTTATTTTTGATTGTCTTATACATATCTAAAGTCAATCAAAATTGATAACGGAATATTTTGTAAATGAAGAATAATTTTGATAAATTCAATTTTGTAGGAGCGCAGATAAATAATAAAAAAATATTTTATAATTTTTTTTTTGTTCACAGTCGGACAAATGGTAATCTACGTTATTCATATATTTATCAGCTGATGTTACTTCTTTTTTCTGCTAATAGCGATTTCGGCTGATAACACTGATGTGCACTGGTGCATATTAAAACCGTTTTACACTGTAAAATATTGATCTTTCGAATTTCTCTATTATTTCGTGGTACGTTTCTCGCGACATTTGGATCGAAGTCATTTCCAAATTCTAAATAAACATTTTCTGTGCAATAAATCACATTATTATAGTTGGTCTAATCTGCAAAACTGAACTGTTTTATTGAACGTACGTTTTTCGCACAACCTCTTCAATGCAATTTTAACTTTTAACATTTGTTCTTTTTTTACGTTCTATTAGGTATATTAATTCATCATCGCACTTGATGACGATGATGTTAACAATTTCATAAGCACATATAAATCATTCATCGTAACGTGAATAAAGTACTTTTCATGCTGACTCTCGACGCTCATTTTCAGCGTCAAAATAGAATATATGATCAAAATTGATGCTAGACAATGAAAATGCATGAAAAGTATGTAGTGCTATATACACGTGTAGAGAGCTAGTGTTAAAATTGATATCACGTGATCATACTCATGCTGTTTTTCAGCGTCTCATGAAATGGCATCTGTATAAGGCTGGAATCAGACTATCTTCAATGCGTAGTCTGATTCCAGCCTTATTTATTAGGGCCACTTTGTGTACACTTGTGCGGTGTACTGAGCCCAGACGAACATGTGACACTGACGAAAAATTGCATCATTCGACCAGCCGAACATACCAGTTGCACCAATACCCGAAATATGCAGTCGGTGCGTCCCAGCCAAAATCGCTATTCATTGTACAACGGTCTTTATGTGCACCAGTGCACACCAGTGTATCCCAGCCGAAATCGATTTTTTCTTATATTTTATAGCTACAATGTTATGTAAAAAAATTAACGTAAATTGAATAAGTATATATTATTCGTATTATATCGTAATTATAGGTAATAATTTATATCCTATCTTAAAATTGGCGTGTTACGTGCCCTGAAGCCTCTTTTCGTTGAGGCTGTTAGAGTATTAGTTTTAGTATTAGTTTGTTGTATCTAAAGGTTTTGGGGGTCGCCGATTTCGAATCCGGTCTCAAAATTTGGAAATTCAAAATGGTTGAATCAATATGGCGGATTGAAGTTTTACCGAAAATGCTAAAAGTCTTCCGATTTTTGCGAAATGTAGTATTAAAAGGTTTTCGGGGTCGCTGAAGCCGAAACTGATCTTAAATTTTGAAAATTCAAAATGGCTGAACCAATTTGGCGAACAATAATAATCTCATTTTTTAACCGATAAATTAGAGCCTTATGTCGGTCGAAGTTAGATCCCAAAATGCTTAAATAATTATTACAGTTTTTTGGGATGCACGTGGTATAATTCATATTGATTGCCTTCCGTCGAAGCAAACGATCAATGGCGATTATATTCAGCCTTATTGGTAGAAGTACAAGGTATGCTCATGCGCATGGACAGTCAAGGCTCTGTTCTTCATTACGTCAACAAGGAGCGACAAATTTGAAGCAAAAAGATTTGACAATAGTAATTTGATAGTAATTTAATAGTAATTTAATAATAAATTGACAATAGTAATTCTTAAAGCATTTTTGGTTAAATAATATGTAATATGACATATATGTGATAATAACTTTCAACTCTGCTTGGAAAAATATCTGAAAGTATTATAATAGTTATATATTGCATTTGACATAAGAATTAAAATAATTAAAAAAACATTGAATGAATTATTTAAAATAACTTTAACATTTTTTATATAATGAAGGCTTTTTTAAAAATATAAGAATATTAAAAGATACACTCGTAAATCAAAATCATTACTTTTATAATATTTATTATAACCAAAATGATATTTATTAAAAGCGTTTTTTTCAAACGTAAAACAAAAAAAGGAAGCAACATGTACCGTGGTTACATTACCGTTCGATAAAAAATAATTGTATTATAAAATTGTTATGGTATTTAAGAATTCCATTCGCCATAGTGATTCAACCATTTTGATTTTTCAAATTTTCTATCCGCCATAACGATGAGGTCAGTTTTCTAATGCAAACATTTAGAATATAAATTCGTAACAATATATTTCATAATGTCTAAAAAGGAGAATATAATGGAGCATCGCGCGCGGAGCGCGCGCAGGGAATGTTATAATAAATTGTATCAATAGTAGATAACATCAATCAGTGATCATTATATATCGGGCCATTATATCATTATTATAGAAAATTTGCTCAGTATATATACTATATATAGCTCAATAATATTTAATAATATCTTATGTATTTAACTAATTATGTATAATATTTAAGTAATTTATATTACATTAAATCTTTTTTCAAGCTTTTATGTTATACTACTTACTTTGTAATAATTACTAAATTAATTTGATTTTCAGAGGAAGATTATTAAGTGTTGTGGTTACAAATATTCAACGTTCAACTTAATCGCTATACAGAGTGTTTCAGAAATAGTTGGCCAAACTTTAAGAGCATATTCCACTCATTGTAAGGATGAAAAAAAGTCATATAAACATGGGTTCGGAAACGTTTTTTCTCTCTTAAAATTGGCGTGTTACGTGCCCTGAAGCCTCTTTTCGTTGAGGTTGTTATTTATTTGTACGTATTTACATCGGACGACATGCCTCGCTTCGACGTTTCATGAATTGTACTTTTATTCGCCTTCTAAGGTAAACAAAAGTTATTAGATAGGCAGTGTTTTCCGTTATCTAGATAAAATTATCTAGATAATTATATAAATGAAGAAATGGCTTTATCTTTATCTAGATTATTAAGAATATAGATTATCTTTATCTTATCTTAGATAAAATCTTTTTCAAATTAACTAAGATTGTAGCAGAGTATTGTAAAAAAATTTCTATATAACTTCTAGTAGTAGTAATGATGAGAATTTTTTTATGATATAGATAAAACTGGGATTAGTATGACATCAGTCATAATTCAAAGACATTGAAGTACTTTCATATTTAGAAGACAAATCTAAGGAATTAAATATTCTTAATTTGTATCCACACGTCAAACAAATTTTTTTTTAAGTATAACACATCATTGCCATTATCAGTGCCAGTAGAATGCCTTTTTATTTGTGGACAACAAATATTAACTCCACGTAGAAACCGTTTGTTAGACGAAATGTTCAAAAAACTTTTATTCGTAAAAAATAAAGATTAATGAAAATATAAATACATTTTTTGTATCCTAATGCCCAATTTCTTCATTTCGAGATAAATTGCGGATAACCTTATCCAAGAAACATCTCCATTCTAGGAGATATCTCTTAGATAGTTATTATCTAGAGGTGAAGAAATTGGGCATAAATCGTTTTACTGCCTGATAGATAATTAAAAACAAAATTATCTTAAAAATTATCTAGATAAAAATTTGTAAATTTCATTTTTTATCTAAATGTAAAGTTTTATCTTAATGTAAAGTTAATCATCTTCATCTTATCTAAGATACATTTTTGTGTGATTTATCTTATCTATATCTAGATAATTTTTAATTATCTAAGCGCAACACTCTGTAGATAGGTCTGTATGGAATTGGAATCTTTATTTAAGCATTTAAGAGTGAAGATAGTATTCATCAAAATAGCAGCTTATTCTAACATCGAATTGGCAGATATCTATTACATGTATGGGTGAGCTAACGAAAACTGCAGAGAAGCTCAACGTTTCTATCAACAAATCTTTCCTCAAAGACGATCATTTCCAGCAATTTCTATAATGAAAATATAGATATAAGTAAATAAAAAATATTCATAATTTGGAAAGGAAGCATTTCCGAACCCATGTTTATATGACTATTTTTCATCCTTACAATAAGTGGAATATGCTGTTAAAGTTTGGCCAACTATTTCTGTAACATCCTATACATTATTTCATATAACATGATGCTTTTGAAGAAATTAAACAAATATATAATTATCTATCTAATTTTCCGCAAAATCTTTTTACTTTCTATTCATTATTTTTCTTTTACACCTTTTCGAATTATTAGATCCGTTCGATACCAAATATGTTAAAGTATAAGGACAATTAAGTTAACTAAAAGATATTTTATTTCAAAAGTAAAAAGTACTATTTCGCCAAAATTTAGCATTAAATCGAATCACATTGTAACTATCATTGTAATTTTTTACTCAATATATAAATATATCATATATTATGTTTTTCTTTTTATATGTTTTATGGATTTTTAACGTATATTATAACATAATATTATAAAGTCCTGTTATAATTGCGTTCCATTTTACATGAATATATTCTAAAAAAACAATTTGTAATACAAATGTATTTTTATATGACATATTTATTAATAATTGATCTTTTTTCTTTTTCACATCCGCATGACGTAATATAAGAATGACAAGGACATTTGTTAAAACTAAACTTATCGTATGATCATCATGGTCACATGTAGTACATAAGTTACGTATTCGTGCGCAATGAACTATGAATTCGCTAAACATTACAGGTAACAAGTCGAATTGCTATAATTGGTGGAAACAGACAAGGACACGTTTTTATGGGTAAAAAAAATTCCCCAGTATAACTAGATACTAAATTATGATGTAGAAATCAAAGCGTATATTTCTAACATCACAAACAATATATGAAGATAGATTAAAATTATTATTTAAA